CGTAGTAATATTGATAATAATAAGAGTAGTAAGAATAATGACAGTTCCAGCGATGACAGTAGTCGTAATGTGCATAATAATATTGATAAGAATAAGAATGATAAGGATGATGATAAAAGTAAAATTGCATTTAATCCTTTATTTTTTCCTATCTCGCTCGTGCTTTCCTGATTTTTCTTACAATTGTAAATAAGTACATGATTTCTTTTGTTTATTTATTGTAACTTCATAAATACATACAATTTGCAAATATATTTTGGACAATTTTTAATTTATGTAATTCTTTATTAGCTTAATTCTTGGTCGAAGATCGAGGCAGATTGTGTGTACATATATTCAATTTTGGGACTGAAAAATAAAAGCATTTATAATAACATATTTATTGTTGTTGCACGATTTAATAATATTTTTACGTGAAAGTTAGGACATTAGTAAACAGAAAATGTTAATTATAAAAATAATAAATTGAATAATTATTTATAATGTAGTAGTTTAAGGCCTAAACTACTTTTAAGTAGCGCGCAGATCAGTGTGGGCAGTCCCAGTGCATGCGCAGTAAGCTATGCGTAGAAGTCCTCAGTAGCGTATACGCTTTGATGAAATATAAGGTATCATTAGGCCCTAGTGAGGGAAAAAAAATAAATCTGAAGAAAATTGCAGGAAAGAGAATAAAAGAGTTAAATAATACAACAGATTATATATAATAAAAATAATATTAAATTTATTTATGATTATTATTATTTTTTACGTTTGCAGCCGATTTGTTATATGAATACCAATATTTGTTGCAAGAGCAAAGGAAAAAGATACCGCTCGATTTTTATCGGATCTATCTCTTTGTTATTGTTTCTCTGATATTATAATTCTCGCACGTATAAAATATAGTTATTCAAAGAGGTCCTTCCAAGTCGTTTTTCTTAAATAATAAATTCATTTAGTGTTTTAAAAGTTATTGTGCTTTTATGTTATTTTAAATATAATAATATCCCATATTCCATCATATTATTCCGATTATATTATATTATATAATTCACGATATATATATGTATATATAGTTGTATAGTTTTATACAGTCATATATATAACTAACCTAAACCAGCCTAATGTAATCTAACCCAACCTATACATTCATAGTTTACAGTGCAATTATAAGAATTTTTGATAAGATATCATGGGTGTATATATCAGAATACAATTTATTAAACTAAAAATGCACTTTAATTAAATAATTTATTTTACAATTATTTTTACAATCACAATGTACCCAATACTATACAAATACTTAAAGTTTAAACACAGAAAATTAAAGTTATAAAGCAAAAATTTGGTACTTAACATATCATCTTAATGTAATTTTATACAGCAATTTAGTGCCAAATAAGAAAACAAAAATTACGAAGAAATTCCATGATCTATGAATTAGTCTCTTCATGATCAATATTTACTGCTTCTGTAGCTGTTTCTGGAGGAGGTGGTACTAAAGAAAGTATGGAATCATGAGTTAGGATTTGCTTTCCCCTATGTACTGGAGATTTATTTGATACTTTGTCATTTGTCTGAGCTGGACATTCAAAATGTACGCAATGGAAAACCTAAAAATAAAATGTTTATAATTATTTAATATAATTTATATAAAATTTATTTACTTATAGCTATTTTTTAAATATTATATTTATTAAAAATGCACTGGATATATAGATAGAATATTATTTATAAATAATGACCTCATTTGCTGTGTTATGTGTTCCAACAATACGTATAAAAACAACAGGGCGGGGCGGATCAAAATGTATTGTTTGCCACGAACGACAAGCTTCTCTAGTTTTATCAGCAACTAGAACCCAATTCCAAGAATTGCCAGATACTTCTATATAATAAGAATATGAACGATCATCGCAATCCCAAAGCAACAACCTATAATTTACCAAATTTATTTATTAGACAACAAGTCGAATGTATTAACATATAATAGTGTAAATGTATACCGCATAGAGTTTATAATATAAGGTTGTCCAAGTTGTACTGAAATAGAACCAGATCCAAGTTGATGACATGTGTATCCACTGTCCCAATCATAATTAGATGTATCACCATTCAATAAAGCATCTCGGGATCTATTTAATTTAATAAACAATTTGTTAGGAAATATTTAATTTTACTTTTAATTCTTATTAATAGCTGACATACCTACAAACACCTTCTGTAACAATAGCACTTCGATCCATAGTAGCAATATTTCGTGTTGGGACAACAAATCCATCACAAAGTTTTTCTGTGTGATTTGTATAGTAAGCTTCAAAACTTACAACATGAAAAACCTTTCAGAACAAAAGTTTTAAAGATGAATATTAAAACGTCTTCGTAAGATAAACGAAGTCCGAATAAAAATTACTTAATTTTACCTTATTTACAGTGTTATTTGTACCAACAATACGAATATATAGAACTACTCTTGGCTCAAAGTATAAATATTGCCAGCTACGACAAAAATATTCTCTATGATCTATAACTCGAACCCAATCTTCCTGATCCATGGATACCTAAAAATTTAAAAATTTACATACATACAAGTATGGAAAAACAAAAAATAAAAGAAAAAAGCCCCAAAATGAATTACTAATATACTTTATTTTAAACTTACTTCTATGTAGTAAGAATATGAACGCATATCTTTATCCCAAAGCAGCATTTTAACATGATTAATGATACACTGAGTACCTAATTTAATCAAAATACCATGCTCTTGTGATTCTGTAATGGTATGCCTAGTGTACCTAGTGAAATAAAAATATTTTATTTAAATGAGTAACTTAGACAATTAATTCATTAATTTACCCTCGTTCCATGTCGTAGTTGTTTGTATCTCCATCTAAAAGATAACTTCGCATTTCACCCTGTAGAACTTGAGCACCATGCATAGGATGAGCAACATTTTCATCAATAAGTAATCGACCTCGATAATTAAGATCCGAATCACGTGTCTGTGTTCTTGAAGCTATTGCATCTAAGATTACTTCAGGAGAAATTAATTTAGTAGGTCGAACAATGTTTAGAAGATCCGTGATAGAAACCAAGCTCAGTCGTACTTTTTCTATAGAAGTAATTTTATATTCATATAACATACGTAAATCCTGGTATTTCTTTAAAGTTTTCTTATGTCAGTTTATATATTTACCTAACACACTTTTATCATTAGCATCAGGATTTGCTTTTACCCATGCTCGCACAGCTAAAAAAATGTCGATTTCTGGTGCATAAAAAGAATCTCTTGACACAAGCTCATTTAAAGCAGCAGCACTTAGTTGTAAGAAACTCTCATGCTGTATCACTTCACATGCATGCTTATCCATATATTCATGGCAAACCTAAAATAAATGAATTTTGTTGGATTAATGTTGCAAATATTGTTTTTATAGATAATTATGATATTGTATCATTACCCTAGTAAGAAATTCTAGTCGATAGAAAAGTGCTGCATCAAATACCAAGCAAACATTTTTTATATTTAATATTTCTCTTAAGTAATCTGATATAGAGGTTTCTAATTCTGAAAACCCGTAGAGATGTGCTAATCCTAAAATATCTAAAATCACCTAAAAATAACAATTAAATAATTCAAATTTATGGCTTAAATTAAAATTAAAACTAAATAAATACCTGTTCATGTCTATCGGTAAGAGACATTCGTCCTGTATATATGTACTCAAGTAAACCTCTAAATGCAGCTAAATTAGCATCTTTCAATTCAATTTCATGTTGCATTGATTCTTTTAATCCTCCAAAAAGTAGAGCTCTGAAATATTGACTACGCGCAGCTAAAATGATTTTATGACCATTAAATCTTTGACCGCCAACTATTAAAGTCACATCTGAATAATCATCTGAGAGATATAGAGCACCAATATCCTCAGACAGGTAACTAATATGTTCTATATCACCAGAAGGTGGATTCAATCGATGATGAGAACTCATTTCTAATATCTTTTCTTTGATACAAATCTTATATTTCCTTTTCACTTGAGTCTTTTTACTCTTCAAAAACTTTCACTTGTTGGTAAATATATACAATTTGTCAATGTCAAATAATATCATTAGCATTGTATTTTAATACACTGAACAGTATTTTTTGTCAACATTTATTCTATGGCAACAAACAAAAAGTCAAAGAACATAAATTTAATAAACACTTAATAATTCTTAAAATAATAAAAACAGAGTTAACTTTTAACTTGTAATGTTTAATCCTTAATTTCTACATCATATAGCTTTATATCTATCAAGTACTATACAACCTTGTTTTGAAACTGAGTTGTCAGTTTTCACTGCTAGAAATTACAGAAAACTTATACAAACGTAAGTAAATTCTAAACAAATCACATTGATATAAAAACAAAATTATATTTGGTTTGTAAACGCATTATTTCACATTTAGCGGATTTCACACTAAACTTCATTTTCAGTATACATCACATACATCAGCATACACTTATCACCACATATGTAAATATCATAGACTTATGAAATCTAAAGACAGAAGAAACACAAGCTACTATCAAAATAAATATCGTAAAAGAATAATTTCTTTTGAAAAAGGTCGAGTTCAAATTCTGGAACAAATTTCATAACAAAGTTTATTATATTTTTATAATTAATACATATCCGAATACTTCATTCCGCAAGAGGACAACTTTATTATAGTCAATGATTGCATAGAAATTATATCTCTGTAGATCATATTTATCAGCCAACGAATTTTAGTCCATTCTGCGCATGTAAGTTCTGATTGGTTCCAGCAGTCCTTCTAATGAAGAGCAAAGTGCATGCGCCTTTAAAATGTTTTTGGTACCAAAAATATATACCCAGTGATTCGAATTTGAACAGTATTCTGTATAAGAAAAACGACAAAGTCTTTTTGATTAAATTATCGGAAACTTTGAAAAACGTTAGTTATGCAAAGTTGGGCTAAATTTTTACAAACACACTCCCTCTTTCCAGACCTATTTAACTGTTGGATGTGATTAAAAGATTCAGCAAATTAAAAAGATTTTTTGACCTATAGTAAAATTTCACTTTAAATTTCCCGCTCGTTTGGACAACCAATTTAAAGGGACAGCATTTTCGAGACATCAAAGATGCCGACAAAGAGTGTTGCGTCTTGTTGTAGTCCTACCCTTTGATTCAGTAGTGGAGACCTCTTACCTTGGTCGCCATTTTCCCCAGGAAAGTCAGATTTGCACTTGATACGTCAAGTTAGCCTAAATTTGATCTACTTTTACTCTGGAAGTAATGTCAGAGTGGTACTTTTACATAATTTGTAACATATTCTTATCAGAATTAAGTTAACAGAGGATATTAATACATTCCACTGTTTTCAAGTTGATTATTCAAAAAGTTAATGGTACATTTTTTAAACGAAGATTTACGATTTGACATTTATTATAAAACTATTTTACATGACAAGACATATATAGTATTTTATACAATTTTATTACGGTTTTTAATCAAAAATAACAATGGAAGATCAACAATTAAGTAATTTAATTAAATGGCTAGATACATTTGATTTACAAACTCCTCACTTAACAGCTGAAGATATAAGTGATGGCGTAGCTTTAGCAGATGCCTTGGCCCAAATTGCTCCAGAATGGTTCACTGCTGCTTGGAGAGCAAAAATAAAAACTGATGTTAGTTCAAACTGGCGGCTTAAAGTTAGTAATCTTAAGAAAATAGTTGAAGCTGTAATGGAATATTACATTGAATGCTTAAATCAACAGTTATCAGGTTATATTAAACCTGATGCGACAAAAATTGGCGAACACTGTGATAATCATGAATTACGTCGTTTATTACAATTAATTCTTGGGTGTGCAGTTAATTGTAATCAAAAGCAGCAATATATAACAAGAATTATGGGTATGGAGGAAACTGTTCAGCAAGCAATTATGCAAAGTATTCAAGAATTGGAGGGTAATATGAATGGACCAAGATTAAGTTTAGGTACTAGTCTTAATTTTGAATCTTTAGACGTGGCTGATGGTAATCAGCAAAGGCTATTAGCAGAGCTTCAATTAAATGTTGATATGAAAGAACAATTAGCGCAGAAGTGTCATGAACTTGATCAGCAGCTATCACTTTTACAAGAAGAAAAAGCAGCATTGGTAGCAGAAAATAAAAAACTTCAAGAACGGTTAGATGAATTTGAAAATCCAGAAGAAACTGGTTCCATTTTAAAATATTCTGGTCTCAGGAAACAAGTGGAAGCATTGAAGGATGAATTATTTAAAGTAGAAACTTCCAGAGATGATTATAGATTAAAAGTGGAATTATTAGAAAAAGAAGTATTAGAGTTACAGTCTAGACAGGAAGATTTGCAAAAAGCTGCAGATGAAGTCAATCATCTGAAAGATGAAATAGACGCATTAAAGGAAACTGCAGATAAAGTAACTAAGTATGAGCTTACAATAGAATCATACAAAAAGAAAATGGAAGACTTAAGTGATTTAAGAAGGCAAGTTAAAATATTGGAAGATAAAAATTTGGAGTACTTACAATCCAAGATCGATTATGAAGAAGAGGTTAAACGGACTGCAATGCTACGTAATCATTTGGAAGTTTGTAAACAGCAACTTGCAGAAGCACATCATAAATTAGATGAACAAACTAATAAATGTGATAAATTGGAGTTTGAAGGTAAAAAAATGGAAGCAAAATTAAGTACTTTACAAAGGGAAAGAGACAGATTAGTCGTGGAAAGGGATGTTTTAAAAGAAACAAATGAGGAATTGAAATGCACACAATTACAAGCAGCAGAAAATATAACAAAACCTAGTACTGATAGTACTGTTACAAATATGGAAATGATACCACTTGAAATTAAAGCAAAATTATTATGTTTACAATATGAAAATAAAATGTTGAAACTCAAACAGAAGGGTAATGAAGATAAGCTACCAACAGTTCAAGATCTATTACAAGATTCAGAAGAAAGATTAAATACACTAAGAGGTCAAAATCGCAAAGCAAATCAAAGAATAATCGAATTAGAAAACAGATTGGAAGAAGTGTTAGGAAATCATTCAAATGGTGATGTTAAAACTGATAATGGTAATTTAGGACAGAAAATAACACAATTGCAAGATGAGTTAAGAAGAATACAGGCAGAAAAGGAACGTTTACTGTTACAAGTTGAAGAACGAGAAAATGCATTACAGGCTCAAAAACAGAAAGCCTTTGCTCTTCAAGAAAAATTAACACGTCGAGAATACGATAATGCAGCACTTGAAGAACGTTATAAGAAATATGTAGAAAAAGCAAAAAGTGTTATAAAAAGTTTAGATCCTAAACAAAATAATTCATCTCCAAATGAAGTAGCTGTTTTAAGAAATCAGATTTTAGAACAACGTAAAATTATGGAAGATATGGAACGCTCTTTTAAAGAATCTAAATTAATTACAGAAATGGAAGAAAAACTAATATTATCTGCTTTTTATCGCTTAGGTTTAAGTTGTCATAGAGAAGCAATAGATCAGCGTCTTGCAGCCTTAAGTTCAGGTCAAGGACAATCTTTCTTAGCAAGACAAAGACAACCGTCTGCTAGACGTCATCCACCTTATAATTCTAAGTAAGAACTAATAAAAGAATTATGTTTATTAATTTTATTCAGAATGATGCTTATATTAATGAAGGTAATTTAAATTATAACATTCATTTATATTTATTGTAAAATGTGCTGTATAACTACTGTTAATTATTGACAAAACAATTTTATTTACCATTTTATAAATGTACATAAATACACGAATTCAATGTATATACTGTATATGTATATTACTGATAATGATGCTATTAAAGCATATTAAATATTTGTACATATTATTGTATGTATGAACATTAATATGTACTCTTATGTTTCTACTTGAGAGAAATATATTTAAAATGACATGCTTGTTGTATTTAATTAATATGTACTGTATATTATTTATACTGAAAAAAATATTGAAAATTTTGATTTTGTATAAATATTGTAAAATATAAAAGCATTATTAAAGAGATATTATTAAATCTAATGTATCAAAATAATGTATCTGAAAAAAAAGAAGAACTATTAGAAATAAATCAAATATTTAATTTATTGCAAGACTTTGGCATACAAAATATTATAAAGTAAATACACAAAGTATATCTATTCAATTCCTGTTCTATATTTTTAATAATTAATCATTATATTCATTTTTTTTAAGTACATCTAGCATGTAAATATATACAATAAAAATATAATACGATCTACTGTTTCACATTGTTCATATTTATACTAGTTCAATAATTTTGCAAGATTTCCACCATTTAAAAGAAATATATAAAAATATTTTTAAAGCACATAGGTAAATACAAGTGTTGGGAGAAGATTATGGTTATTTATATATATATATATTATCCATTTAAATGTTACTTAATATTATGATAAAACATATTTAAAAATGTAATTTCAATATATACAATACTTAAATAGTTGACAAATATATTCTTTCAAGAATGGTTTCTCTTTTATGATGTAAGTTATCTGTATATGTTGATTGCCTACTGTTTTGTATCATGGGCTTTGTATTTTGCATTTTCATTACTTTTTGTATATCAGAATAACATCTTTGATAATAAAATATTGCATTAAGAAATTCCCATAAATTGAATTCTGGCCATAATACGTTAGTAAAGTAAACACATGTATTTGATACCTGAAATTTATAAAATTACATAAATATATAAAATGAGAAATAGATTATTGTTACACTTACTTGCCACATAAGAAAATCACTGAATCTGACTTCTCCAGAAGTTCGAATTAATAAATCAGGATTTGGTGACTCATGAGTATATAAACTATTGGAAATAAGATTTTCATCAATATCTTCTGGAAAAATATCACCATTCTCAATGCCTTCAATTACATCTTTAATAGCATGTGTAATTTCATCTCTAGCTAAAACAGTATATAAAAATAAATTAATTTTATTTATACCAAATAATTGTTGGATTTCTACTATAATTTTATGAAATGAAACGTGATAAATGTATAGTTCAGTTCTTTAATGTACATAGGAGTACATAACATATAGGCCTTGCAAAGTACTTACACGTGTATGCAAATGCAATATTAAGAAATACTTTATTATGTTCTTTAGTAAAGATCATAGATTCTGCTATTAATTCTTGTATTTTCTGAGGTAGTAATGATAAGTTACCAATTATACGAATACGTAATCCATGTTTTCTTGTTTTATCCCTAAATTAAAATGTGTATTATTTGTTGCAACTGTAATAAGCATTAAATTTCTTTGTAAGTTTAAATGATTTTTAACATACTTTTCATCTAATAAACGTTGAAACTTTTGCTGTGCAAGGTTTAAAAGTCCATTTACTTCTTCTTGCTGTCGCTTAAAATTTTCAATACTAAATGCATAAAATGTTACTTCTTCTATTCCAAAATCTCTACACCATTGTAAAGTTTCAGCAAATTTATCAAATCTTAAAATGAATAATTTTCAATAACATAAAACAAAATAATCTCAAAATAAAATAAAGAACTTATATTTACATATAATTCTTTGTTTTACTAATACACACCCTTTCGCATGTCCATCTACTTTTTCCATTCCATTTTTACTTGCATAACGTCTATTACCATCCATTATAAATGCTACATGTTTTGGAATATGACCAGTTCTTAAAATTTTTATAAGCAAAAGTTGAATCCAATTTAAAGTATTCTCTCTTATCCATGACATTGTTTATAAATATGTATTTATATAGTGCTTATATATATTAGATTATATATATATACATTCAATATATATTGAAAATTTATTTTTGTACATAAGGTTTAATAAATAATGGTTAAATTAGTTCGAGTTATTTTAATATTTAATTTACATATAATTTTTTAAATTAATTTTAAATATTTAGTAATTTCTTGTCATTTTCTATATTTTATATGTTAGAATACAACATACATTCAACTTTATTACAATATGTATACAATTTCACTTAAGTTGTTATTTTAAGAAAAACAATAAATGTTACTTTATAGCGCATTACAGTTTATAAGAAAAAACGTTATAAAATCATTATCCTATTGACACGTCGACATTTAACCTCATTACAATTTTGAAATATGTACATACAAATGTCATCTCTACATATTGTAGGAATGTATCAATTTATTTCATATCTTTTATTTGTATAATATATATGTTAATATATTTATTTACAGAAATTAACAATTATTATAGAAATACATTTTATTTCTAAAAAAATTACATACGTGGTACTGCATACATACATATAGATATATATGTATACACATATCGTTACACATCGATATTTCGAGTTTATTCGAGTTAGCTAGCGTCCATCTTGAAGTTTTAGGTTTTGTGAAAAAATGTATTTTATGTTTTTATTCATCATAAATATATGTAAGTATCGAATAATTATAATAATAAATAATAATAATTTTATAGTATTAAATATCTATTTAAAATGATTACAGAAGCAGTTTAATCTTATGATTCATAAAAATTTCTGTATTATATCACGTTACAAAATGGATACAAATGTTATCACAATACTGAAACACTTGTATGATTGAAATTGAAACATCGGCATTTTTCGTATTTAATTAATATATTAAAATGTTATCTATCAAATTTTAATATAAAACATTAGATAATTATATTAAATATAACAATATTTTTTCCTTAATATCAGTTTTCTTAGTTGTTACCTATGCTTTAACTTATGTTGTTTTAGAGTTACGAATGTTTGTTTTAGTTAAAAGTTTTCTTTAATTTTATCGCATAAATTACAAGTCAATCGTTAATTACCATTTATGAACGTATAATGACAATAATTACAATGGACTTTGTTTCGAAGTTCACTTTGCTTTATGTAATTTTTAAAATCAAAATTATCTACTTTTTTCGTGTTTCTTGCTATTGCGGTTTTCCGTCACTCTATTTTTAATTTCAAATGTACCGCGTTAAATGGTGCAGACACTGTCCATAAATATGTTTTACAGCTATTAGAATTTTTAACAAATATTAAGTACAGAATATAACAATAACATCGAACCTATTCATCTTACTCTGTTTCTTGTTGACTCATTAAAGAAAAGAATACAGTACTTCGTTGCTTCGAGGGCATACTAGTTAAAATAAAGTTGCGCAAGGTTCTAAGGAACGAGATACAGCCCTGTATAATACGGTACGTTATGTCGACAATCGGGTATGGGGGGGACTACTTTCCGTTGAGGAGGTGAGCGTGCGTGTGCGTCTCGCGGTCGAGACCTCGCAAGAGAGAAAATGAAATCTGAAATGGTTACTGCCGCGCTATGACCCTACAAAGTAAATGTTTCTCTTTGTCTGTGAGTGAATAATAAACAATTGGCCAGGCAAAATGGAGGGTAGCGGGTCCAAAAACGACACTGCAATTGCACCAGGTAAAGAATGAGAGCGATAAGCGCCTTTACCATCCGCAACGAAGCGAGGCGTGCGGTTCGTTCCTAAGCAACATTATTTCTTACAGAGCTGTACTTCCTAATCGCCAAATTCTTAGCGGCGGGGCCTTGTCGTGAAGCCGCGGATGTAAGTATTATCGACTGAAAAATTATGAAATTTCGTTCTAACGTATCGTAACGACAATGCACGTTCTAGGTGCTGAAGCGTGAATTGGAGCGAGCTAAGGTAAGACGATTGGTCTGAGTTGACGTTTTGCCGGGGTGACACTATACATACCCATCGGCTCCACATGGTTTGCACGTGGTTTCTGCTTGTCAAAACATTAGAATTTCAAGGTCGGCGACCTTGATATTCGATAAATTCTGCCAATTTTATCTCGAACATCATTGATCAACCAATCAACTTATTTTTATGATTTTTGTCTTTTTCGTAGGTTTTACCGCAAAGACTAGATTGGGAAGGGCATGTACATAATCAAACATTTGAAGAACTAGTAAGTAAAGCAGTTCTTTGAAAAGAATTTTATTTGACGTATGTCACACGTAATGAAATGGATTAATTATTTTATGGAATAATATTATGGCAAATTTTGTTTTGCTTCGTCGTAAAATATTTGATAAATACCAATGTACGAAGTACCCCTAATAGGGTACTACCCCTTTTCTGCCCCACTCCTCAACCCTCCCCCTTCTCTCTCCTTTCGTACTGCTGTTGCACAAGTATCCCCCACTACTCTACTTTCGACCAATGAGCATTAACTTCCGGCCATCTTGGATGAACTGATCAATGAATATATCTTATATTCAGACCTTATTTATAGAAACTAGTGTTGTGCGTGACGGGTGGGCAGTTCGGATTGGTCGTGCTTGCTTATTTGCCCCCTGATTGGTTACAAATAGGAACTACTTTAAATTAGTTACATTTCAATTATTAGCGGGAATTGATACTATTTAATGAAACGTGATTTTATATCTTGTTATTAACATATCTTGCATTTAATTAAATAATTAAAGATATTATTAAATTAGTTACTAGATCAGGCGAACAATGAAAAAATATAAATTTAAATTTACAGGAAAAGAAATACTCGCATATTGGACCAAATCATTTATTACAAATATGTGCCAGAATTGGTCCGGTATTAGAAAAAGAAGTACCACCATGTATACCAGGAGCAATATCGCTCCTTGGTGTAGGAAGACAATCTTTGTTACGTACCCACGAAGGTAAGAATAAATATCAAAATAATATTAGTTATAAACTTTTAAATATATTTATGTGCATATTTCAAATTTGTTATAGACATCCAACGTCAGATACATGGAATCATTTCTTATTCTGGCAGGATAGGTGGAAAACCTTTTGTGAAATCACCTTATAGTTTATCAGTGCCTAATATAGGTAAATTCGGTGCTATATCTTAAAATTTTGATAAATTTTGATAAAAAAGTTTATAGTTCTATTTATTTTTATATTTTTATAGTGTATGTGCTTCAAGGAAGGGAGAATTCAGGACCTCTGAGCAGGCGAGAAGCAATACCAACCAAATTCTATAATAAAATGCAGTTGTATAGACACACATTAGGACATTTATCTGCAGTGTATTGTGTTCTTTTTGATCGTACAGGAAAATATATAATAACTGGTGCAGATGACTTACTTGTTAAAGTATGGAGTTCTATCGATGGACGATTATTAGCTACTTTTCGAGGAGCATCAGCCGAAATTATGGATATAGCTGTAAATTTTGACAATACTTTACTCGCTGCTGGGAGTTTAGATCGAATATTAAGAGTTTGGTGTTTCCAAACAATGTCTCCTGTAAGCAATTAATAGCTTTCTCTTCTATTTCATTGTTCAAACTTTATGTTAACATTATATCTCACTTTGAACCTTTCTAATTTCTTATTAGATTGCTGTTTTAACTGGGCATTCTGGTATGATTACATCTGTAAATTTTTGTCCTATATCTTGCAACGGTGTATATTATTTAGTTTCCACAAGTACAGATGGATCTGTTGCTTTTTGGTCTCATACTAGAAAGGGCAAAGAAAGAGCCGTTTTTCAGTAAGTTCTGATATAATTTATTTATATCTTATTAACTGATACCATTACAAATCATTATGATAATTAAAATGCTGAATATATATTATTATCATTATTAAAATTGATTGCATTAATACTATTACTTTTAGAGCAAATATGTAATGACATTTAAATATTAAATATTCTATATCTTTTATAGGCCAAAACCAATTCAGTACCATGAAAAGATGCGACCTGGTCAGGCACAAATGATATGTGCTTCATTTAGTCCTGGTGGTGCATTTATGGCAGCTGGTTCAGCAGATCATCATGTCAGAGTATACGCAATGTTAGGAGATGAAGGTCCACGCAGAGTTTTAGAGGTCGAAGCAAATTCTGATACAGTTGATAGTATTCAGTGGGCACATAGTGGTTTGAAATTCATTTCTGGTTCTAAAGACGGTACTGCAAATGTATGGCATTTTGAACAACAGCAATGGATGTACAAACGTTTATTGATGACTACAAAACTGCCTGGGTAAATTAGATATTAAATGTATTTACATTACAATCATTCAATGTTTATTAATGTAATTTTAATAATTATATATTATTTTTTATTATGTTCAGGGAAACAGAATCGGAAGATGATTCTAATAAAAAAGCCAAGGTAACTATGGTCAGTTGGGATGTAAGTGATGAATGGGTTATTACAGCAGTAAATGATAGTTCACTCAAAGTATGGAACGCAAAATCAGGTGAACTTGTAAAAGTTTTGCGTGGACATAAAGATGAAGTGTTTGTGTTAGAATCTCATCCGATAGATCCCCGTGTCATATTAAGTGCTGGGCATGATGGGCAACTTATAATATGGGATGTTTTAAACACAGAACCAATAGCTTGTTTTCAAAATTTTATTGAAGGACAAGGTAATGGTGCCGTTTTCGACGCAAAGTGGTCTCCAGATGGAACAATGTTAGCAGCAACAGATTCTCACGGGCATCTTTTAATATACGGTTTCGGATCTGGTGTTGAAAAACTTAAAATAGTAAGTTTTATTATTATTTGTTTAACATAATTGAATTCAATGTATATATTTTGTATGTTATATTTATATACTTTAATCGATTTTTTTTATTTAGGTACCTAAAGAATTATTTTTCCATACGGATTATAGACCATTAATACGGGATGCAAATAATTATGTTTTGGATGAACAAACACAGACTGCTCCTCATTTAATGCCTCCACCATTTTTAGTGGATGTTGATGGAAATCCTTATCCGCCAGCATTACAAAGATTGGTTCCTGGGAGAGAAAACTGTAGAGGAGAACAATTAGTACCAAATATTGCAGTCGGTGCAGGAGGTACATATATTATTTCATTTCTATTATTCTTCATTTCATATTTTTATACGTATGTGTGATAGTACGTATAAAAATTGACATTATACTTAATAGGAATGCAAGAAGTTATAGAAGGTCTTCCATCTCAAGAACCGCGATCTAATATTGACCAATTAATTGAAGCTCTTGCACAAAGACAAAATATTAACGTTGAGGGAGAAGAGGGAGTTGATAGAGACGAGAATTTAGCAGAACAACCAGTCCGTCAAATGGCTAGTCCTCGAGGAAGTAGATCTGGTTTAAGAAGAGCTGGAGATGTTGAAGGTGTACGACAAAGTAGTGGTAATTGGCAAAGAGATAATACTACACCTTGGAACAAGCCGATCCTTGCTCGACCAATGAATCCAGCTGTTAGGGAAACACAATTTGAAGCATTGTATGTGTTATATAATTTACAATATAACTAATTAATTCTTCAACTATGATTGCTATTAATATAATTTTTATGAGTCAACTAACTTCTTAAAAAACTTAATGTAAAACATTTATAGGGATGCAATGGCTGAAATGGAACTTGAAAATTGGAGACGTGAAATGCGAAAAAGACCACAACCAATATCAGATACTGCCAATACTGAAGGTAATATAAGTAGCCGATTAGCAAATCGAAAACGTAATAGAACTGCCAGACATGGTTATAGAACACGCGCTACACGTGGCGAGGAACAAGAGGATGATGAATTTGAGGTATTTTATTTCACTAAAAATACTAATGCATAATACCTAATGAAACATTTTTATATTTAATTATATTTACAGAATCCTGATAATGGAGGTACAACAGGAAGTTCAAGTAGTAGTAATAGTAATGATTCCACTGCTCACGAAGAAGACTTGTGTTCTGATAGTTCAACTTCAGAATCTAGCACTGAATATTCAGATTGGATTGCCGATCATGGTTTAAATTTGGAACCACCGAAAAGAAGTAAACGTAAACCTGTTAAAAAACGATCTCTTACTCCACCTAGTGACGCTGACAAAAGACGTAGTAGGCGCCCCAAAAAGAAGGTAATTAAACAGTCTTTAAACAAGTAATTTATTATTTCCACGTCTGAAACTTTTTTCTTATTTGAAGGATATTCCTGCACCTAATGGTATTGACGATATCCCAGAAGTTTTTAGACCTTCGGAATGGCTTACTGAAATAATACCAAGAAAAGCTCCTTATTATCCGCAAATGGGCGATGAAATAGTTTACTTTCGGCAAGGGCATCAATTTTATTTAGATGCTGTTAAAAATAAAAAAGTGTATGAACTTGGTCCACGATGTGAACCATGGAGTAAAGTTAATATAAGAGTAAGATTCTTATTTTTCAAATAATTTACGAATATTTCGATTTTAAAACAAATTATTTAAAAAACAAATTTACTTCTTTTACAGGCCCAAGAATTTGTAAAAGTAGTAGGTATTAAGTATGAAATTCGTCCGCCACGACTCTGCTGTTTAAAGTTGGCACTGATGGATGAAGATGGCAGATTAACCGGAGAAAATTTCACCATTAAATACCACGATATGGCTGATGTATTAGATTTTCTAGTTTTGCGTCAAACGTTTGATACAGCTTTAGCACGTAGTTGGTCCGAAGGAGATCGATTTCGTTGTATGATTGACGATGGGTGGTGGATGGGCCAAATTCAATCGATGGAACCTTTAGATGAGGACTTTCCAGAATCTTTTTTTATGTGCTTCCGCGTGAGATGGGATAACGGTGAATATGAAAGAATGAGTCCGTGGGATTTGGAACCAATTGATGAAAATAGTATGTTTCGTACTTTTAACAATTAATGCATGTATACTATTTAATTCGTACGACAAAATTTGAAAATATTGCGTATTTGAATTAAGATAAACATTCACTAAAACGCAGACAGATTTTTATTTTAATCAGTTATAAGTAGAGATATGCGGGTATTTAAAAATTTTTAAATGATTACCCGCATACCTCTAATTATAAGTATCAAATACACAAAATATTATATAAAAAGCATTTACAAAAATTTATTGCAGGACTTCCCGCAGAACTTGGAGGTGCAGTTCCCGTACTTCCAGAAGAAATACAAACGATATTGTATCAACCTCATGCGGAAGAATGGCCAATGGGAGACAGAGAAGCAACATGTCGTAGAATCATACGTGGATTGGATCAAGTGATGAGTCTTGCAATCGCGGAACCTTTTGTGGCACCTGTTGATCTCAACATATATCCTACATATGCATTCGTTGTAGAATATCCTATTGATTTATCAACTATAAAAGCCCGTTTTGAAAATCACTTTTATCGAAGAATAACATCTGCACAGTTTGATGTTCGATACTTAGCAACGAATGCAGAACAATTTAACGAGCCACACAGTCAAATAGTAAGGCGTGCAAGAATAGTTACTGACTTATGTCTACGTATCATAAAGTAAGATTTATTTTACCTGCATATAAACACTTCGTATTATTTATAGTTTAGTTATTTATTTCATTTCAATTAATACAGAGAAACTACAGAATTGGATGTACCAGCTCTTTATCATCAGTTAGTTGATACATATCATTCGTCAGAATCAGAGATTGACATGGAAGATGCGAAGGATAAGCCTTCTACTAGTACACAAAAAGCAAGTTCAAGTAGAAATTCACGCCCGCCAGAAGTATTAGACGATTGGAAAATAGCATGTCGACAATTACTAGAAACTTTATGGCAATGTGAAGATTCTATTCCTTTTAGGTAAAATGAGTTACTACTAGTCTATTATAAAAAATTCTTTTAAATGATATATCATTTTAATCTTTACATACCACTGCCATAAAACTTGAAGTTGCAGTTTAAATTTAATGTTTATAAAATTTCTTTATTACGATCCTTTAGAGAACCAGTTGACAGATTAGAACATCCAGATTATCATCAGATCATAGACACACCAATGGATTTGCGTACAGTAAAAGAGGATTTATTAGGGGGAAACTACGAAACTCCCTTACAATTTGCCAAAGATATGAAACTAATATTTACAAACAGTCGGAATTATAATACTAATAAACGATCGAGGGTAAGTTATATTATAAGAATATAACAAATAACATGTCAAAATGTTTTATAACACCATTTACTTTAATATAGTATAATATTTTTCTAGATATATTCAATGACAATAAGATTATCAGCAATGTTTGAAGAACATATGCGAAAAATCATTTCAAATTGGAAATCTGCCAGAAGACGCAATAATAACAAAGCAAATACGAAGGGAAAAGGTAAAAAGGGCCCAGTTCGATTAACGAATGGCACTGGTACGTTTCAATCTAACATACATAAAATAATTGACGAAACAAATTATGATTACAAATCTCTAAGTATTTTGAAATTCAGATTTCCAAATATTGAAATTATTATTATGTAAAATGTTCTATAGAATTAACCTATATAAAACTAAATATGCAGTTTCATCAGAAAAAATTAAATGAAAATGTATTTTTTTCTATATCCAACTGTATGTATTTTTATAGGGCCTTCGAAGTCAAAGTCTGCTCGGTCAGATGATGATGAAGAAATGAATAGTGAAGATGACGATGAAGATTTAGATGAAGTAGAAAAGAATAATCATAATGTGTTTGCACCAGGTATGTACTTCATTCTTATTGAGTCTCAATAAATAAACACACGTTTCATTTTTATAGTATAGATTTTAATTGGGTATAGATAAGATACACATAATTACAGAAAAGTCACTTTTAAGGATAATGTTTTATATCTGTATATACTAATAGACAGTAAAATTAATGATGAATTGGTTTGTTCAATAGGGCCATCACGTTTGACAAATGGTCATACTAAGCGTTCTGGCACTGCATCACGGCCAACGCTAAAACTTCGAATTGCTAGGGGTGCTGTATCGAAAAAACTAAAAGAAAGTGAAAGTGAAGCTAGTGATTCAGAAGCTTCAATAGAAAATGAAAGTAGTGGTAGTGTACCTATAAGAAGGACACGAGCAAGGAAAGCAGTACATAGTGCTAGTGCTGATAGTAGTGATTCTGGGGAGGTATATACGCCCAGTCGTCGCGGTAAGCAAACTCGAAAAAATCGTGCGAAAAATAGTAAAACTAGTAAACAAGTAAAAGCGAAGTCAAAATTAAAAGTTTATGAAGAAAATAATAGTGATTTGGTAACTGACGACGATGATGATGTGTTCACTACAAACGAGTTTTCAGACGAAGAAAGTGAAGAAGTAGTTATTAATAGAAGTAGAACCAGATCGCGAAAATTAGCATCCACATCTGAACACGATGATAACTTTAGAAGCATAGCAAAAGGTGGAAGAAACAATATTGAAAGTCAAAGTGAAGAAGATGAAGAAGAAGATGAGGACGAAGATGAAGAAGAACAGTGTCAAAATGAAGCTAATAACCAAGATTCAGAGAGTGAAGAGTCAGATAAAGTTTATAGATCATCAAAATCTCAAAGAAGAGTTCGTCGATCGAGGGAACGGCAAAATCAAGAAACTGTACAAAATTCAAGAAGAAGTGGTAAACGTCCTCGTTATAATGAAGAAAGTGATGAAAGCAATACGATGCCAGTTAGGAACCGACGTAAAATTAAACGTCGGTACTACGCGGAAGAAAGTGACGATAGTCCAGAGCCTGAAAATGTAGCAGCAGGCATTAGTATAAGTAGTAGGGGACGTGTACGTAGAATGACAGAACGTGCACGGGCTTTTCGAGCTCTTTTAGAATCACCCTAACAACATCTTTCACGCTAGTAATAAAAATGTAAATTATTCATTTGTCAAATAATTCTTACAAACATTTATTTAAGAATACTGTAAAAACTAAAAACGTTATTTGATAATGTTTGTTCTTTAAAACACGCGACTGTATCCATATTTATAGCGTTACACTAAATTTGTGTAAGCCCCAGGATATTATGCCGGAAAACTTTACACTAAGATCATACATAGATAGACATACGTATAAACACTTGAAATTGTCATAGCAATTCATGGTAAATACTGCTATAAAGTACTTCCATTATTACAAAGCACATTAATGATATTATTTTCTTACATTTAAATACATGATCAGTTAACCGTGTATAAGAAACATTTAATAGTAAGCGAAAATAGTTGATAATTTTACGATATTCTTTGGTTCTATGGGTATACTTTTTATATGATTTTGCAGATTTTACCGTGTCAGTTATTTTCATATGAAATATTCATAACTTGTATACCATTCCCGATATTCAAAATGTAATTACAATTAAATTGTTACATGATTATTTTTGCAAGATATTCTGAACTGTTATTAATGTATACTATTTACTAATACAGATGGAAAAATATTTACAAATTCTGAATTTCTATACAATAACAGTAGTGAAAACGAAATAATATATGATAGTGTTTGTATTACATTGTTAGAAGTATGTTATTGTACCTGGAATTATATAAAAGAAATGCCCATTTTATTCAGGGAATATAATGTTAAGCTTAGCTAAAATTTCAACTCCTGCTTATTTAAACAAAGTTAATTGACAAGTGAAAAGCTACTTTCATGCAAACATCTTAAAAAGTAAGAAAAAAGGTATTGTCTGTTCAAGTATACAATTAATAAAATTGATTATCATCAACGCTTATATTTGCATTTGATGAAACTATGCAGTTAAAAATACAATGTAAATCTTTTTAATAATAATGACATTTATTTCATGAATTTAATAATTTTACATTTTTCCAATGCGATGATATTTTGTTTATCTTAATAAAAATAACATTGGTTTCAAATCCATTGAATTGCATAAAAACATGAGATAATAAAATTTTTATTACGATGTATTTTTAATATTCACCAATTAAATCAAGTGTTTGTACATTAAAAAGAAAATTGTACTTATTTTTCATATTTTGTAAATTATGTTACATGAGGCAGTGCCTTTATAAACATGATTATTTATTTGAAGAATATGGGTAAAACTTCTTTTCTATCCATTTCTTGAAAGAGTACTTGAGAATTGCATCAAATGGTATTCATATTCTCTTAATTAAATTGCTTCAATAATGGCACTGTTTTCGCTTTTTACAATTATACTTAAAATATAATGTTATCTGTAAATATAAATGCAATTTAAAGTGATTACAATTTTTTTTAAATAACATGTAAAAAAACGTGCGCTTTATATGATCTGTAGTATGAAGTAGTAAGTTTTTACATGTAATTTATATGTCCATTAGAGGATTAAGAACCAATGCTCGTGCGACTTTAGGAATTTTTCATACATAGAAATAGACAATTTTTTAGATTTATATAGCATAAAAATTAATTCACTTACTGTACAATAGATTACAAGTTTTTCAAGACAGTTATGCAACCAACAAACTAACATAGTATAAGAATATGTGCACAAATATTGGAAGTCTTGACTGTCTCGAGTCATTGTGATACTAGCTTAAGAATATTAAATATATTAATGATATAAATATTAATAACTAGGAGTATAACGAATATTTTTTTAATAATGCCTCAAAACATAGAGTCATATCATGTGGATTCAAGAAGTCAAATATTTGATTATACTAATTTAATACAAATATTAACATTCATCATTTAATTAAATATATTACCATTAACATATTTCATATTTTAATCTTCAGAATTAATATAATTTTGTGTATATAAACATTGTTAAGTAACAAAACTTAATTAACATAATAGTTTCGATTTATGTAAAATTTTAAACTTTAGTTGTGAAACCAATGTGCTTTGTTGCATACTTAGTTTATCAAAACCCACCGTCACCAATAAAAAAAAATATTAAATTGTTTCATATTTGCTATTCATTTATTTTAAAAAACCTATGACATACTTTTAATTAAGGACTTTCATTTCATGCATTAATTCATTCCTAATTAAAATTAGAAATAAATTGATTTCGTAAAATTTTTTAATTTTCATATTTTGGGATTTCATGACTTCGGAATTTACAAATTTTTTTATATTAACTTTCGTCCATTCAGAAATGTTGAAATGTTAGAATTCTAGGCTTGCAATTTTGGAATAATGGAGTTTTGGAATCTTGAAATTTTGGTACTTTAAAATTTTATAATGTTCGAATTTTAAGAATTTTAGGATTTCGAAGCGTAATGTGTTACAAATAGAAAGTTATTTTCATATAAAAAATGAGCCTCAATTTATGAAAACTTGGGAACAAGGGTGCTTCGGTTTAGAGAGAATGTAATCCTAGAAAGGTTTTAGGGAGAATGTAGGAAAGGTTAGGGACTTCTTTACATTTTTTGCCAACCGGACAAATTTAACGAGTTTACGGATATATTAAGTGCATATTCGTGTATTATGCCATTGCACATGTAATTGTCTATCAAAAAACAATTACAGTGTTATAAAAATAATTCAATAACAATTAATATAATTTTAGTAACAAAAAAGGGAAATAATGTTGGTTGTACTGGTAACCATAATAAAACACCTTCCGGTTAGAGGTCGCCCATTTCTCAACGTTCATGGGTCCTTTTCCGGTAGGGTGACAAAATGACGGGCTTCAGTAATAAGGTATGTATTATAAGTTTTATTATTGTAAGTCTAAAAAGTACTTTATAATATGAAATGTATTTGTATAATATAATTGAAAGATTGATAGATTGTATTTATGTATATTTGATACAAGTTTGAAAAACATATATATTACATTCGATATGCGGTGTTGTATGTTCTGATACACGTGTTTGCATACAACCGTATTCCTTATTTTTCTTGCTATTCTATTGCTTTTTAATGTTATGATAATATTTTAAAATGATATTTGTAAAGAATCATTGATTTTAGACGCAATTAATTTGTAGAATTGATGTATATTGTTTGTTATCAATGGTATTGCAAAATACTAAAATTTATGTTTCAAAATTCTTTTTGAATTAAAACACCTATATAATATAATTATATATTTTCAGCCAATATTAATCGATGGCCGTGGCCATCTACTTGGTCGTTTGGCAGCTATTATTGCCAAAACGATCTTACAAGGCAATAAAGTAATTGTTGTCCGCAGTGAACAACTCAATATCTCTGGTAATTTCTTCAGGTCTGTGGACACGGGTATATTAGTTTTAATAGTCTAATTATGTTATTCATAAAACACGGTTTAGTTTAAAATTATTTCACTTGTTTTACATGTAATTTTATTTTAGGAATAAGTTAAAATTTATGTCATTCTTACGCAAAAGATGTAATGTAAATCCAGCTCGTGGACCATTCCATTTTCGTGCCCCTAGCAAAATACTTTGGAAAACAGTTCGTGGTATGTTTACATATTAATTAATCTTTTAATTAAAGGTGTGTTATAACCCTCTGTAATACATATTCATACATGTCATCACAAATGAATAATTATTTGTGTTATTTCAATTTATATCAATGATTATATAAATCTTACCTACATTATTTGATAGTTCAATGAAACAAGTATTTAAAATGAGATTATTTATTACAAAACTAACAGTTTGCTATACAAGTGTTAAATCGATTAAGAAAAAGTTTGATTTATAGGAATGATTCCACACAAAACACAAAGAGGCAAGGATGCTCTTAGGAGGTTAAAAATTTATGAAGGTTGTCCGCCACCATATGATCGCAGAAAACGTGTTGTTGTACCAGGAGCTATGAGAGTTATGTGTCTTAAACCTGGTAGAAAGGTAAGAAAATATATATTTAAAATATCTTCATATAATGAGTTAGTTTTACACAATGATGGTATGGTAATTTGCGCCTGAATATAATATACTTTATATTTTGTGATGCTACATTTAACTGAGTATATATAATAGAAGTTTTACATTAATTAAAAGAGAAAAAATGATGTAAAATTAACATTATTTTTTGTGTCTAGTATTGTCATGTAGGTAGACTGTCCCATGAAGTTGGGTGGAAATACAAGGCTGTGGTACACACATTGGAAAATAAGAGACGTGTCAGATCAATTCTTGAGGTTCAGAAGAGAGATAAACTCAAGGTATGTAACAAAAATTAAAAATATTAAAATTATAATTATATAGATAAAATTATATTATATATTCTTTTTCATTTGTTCCAGAAACTTACCAAGCAAGCTGGGCAAACAGTTACCAAAGCCACAGCACCATACACAGCAATTATTAATGATTTTGGATACAATTAAAATAAAAATTGTAAAACTAATAAAATTCTTTAAACATTTTATGTGAGTCATTATATTTTTAATTGTATAGTTATCATTCATCCATTTTATCCGCATGTAAAATCCTCACAATAATTTTATATCTTTGTTATGTTTTGTAGAACAATCATACTGATGTTTCTATCCCCTTAGCAATTTCATGTAAAAGAAAAAGGTATGATACTTTTAGAGCATCTTTTTTTAAAAAATATCGAGTATTATGATTTTATTTATAAACATATTTACAGGACATACAAACTTATATAAATATATATATCATAAAATAACTAATTTTCTATACTATCTACTTTAAATACAACTGTCCCTCTTGTATCATTATCTTCATCATCATGTACCTCATGTTCTTCCTCATCTTCAGAAGAACTAGACTCTTTTTCAGTTTGTTGACGGTAAGTACCTACATTTCCAGGTAAAGGTCCAACATTATATAAACCAAGTTGTTCAGCTAATCTCTCTGCTGCATGTCTTGTTTGAATTTCCTAAGAAATGATATAAATGTTATGTTAATTATATTTTATGTAATAACATTTAAAGTACAAGATTATATTACTTGTAGTTTTTCACTCTGCTGCTTTTGTAGTTTGAGAGATTCCTTTAAATCTATAATTTTTGCTGCATCATGAACTATCAGAGGGGGTGTAGCTGCAGTTACCTCCCAATTCTTATTTTGTTTTCTTTGTTTCTCTTTTATTGGATCATGTACATCAGACTTAGTTGTTTTATAAGGTTTAAATGGTTCCCTCTTTTTATTTTTATCTTCTGGATGTTTTTCTATTTTATTGACAATATATGAGATATGATCAGCAGGATTTGTGAATTCTGTTTTAAAAGATTCTATTTCTGCCAAATCTTCTGGTTTAATTAAGCTTTCTTCAGGTGGTAAATGTATAATTTTCTTTTTATGAACACCAGATCCTGTAGGCTGACATAAAGAAGTTGATAAATATTAAAATAACATACATGAAATAAGTTAGTTATAATTATAAATTAATTTATGAGAGTGAAGAACTAACTTGTGCTAAGATTTTTAAAGGATCATCCTCATCGTCACTATCAAGTTCAATCACTTTTATTGTACTTTTTGATTCATTATATTTGCCTGTCCATTCTAGCTCATTCATAGCAATTTTTCCTTCAGATGCTATATTTAGTCTTGACAAAAGATGAACAGCATTTTCAACTTCATTTCTATGTTCTAATTCTTTCAACAGCCTGTCACGGAAAGTTTCAATCTTTTTTCCTTTGTCTGGAAGCTTTGACACAAATACTCTAAAAAAATATGAACATAAATAATTTACTTAACTGTTCAAAATATACTTTTATAACTTACCTACTTATTATTAAGAATCTTATTTTGTCTTTCTAATAGTTCTTCTAATTCAAATCTTTGAATCTTTCCTAAATCATCAATGTATCCTTGATTTTGTTGTTTAGGAGGAGGTGGTAAATCACCTGGTATCTTATGAACTATTTTTTTAGGATACATTGCTTACTGTTTTTTGTACGTAAATATTACATTTAGAACATTTTGAGAAATATCTATAAAATTAATGAACACAGTATAAACAATTAAATATCGTATAAATAAAGATGTGTTGAATGCGATATCATTTAAAAATAAAAAGTATTTAACGGCACAAAGATTAAAAACATACTTAAAACATTTATTAACCTTCTTGGTACAGCTAATTTGGTCGTCAACAAAATATTTATGCTAGTATTATGTTTTTGATACACTTCATAAAGATCAATCTCGTATATTTCAATCAAAGTAATAATTATTATTTTCCCTCCATAACATTCGTATAAATCAAATAGTTATGTCAAATTTTACTAAACAGAAGATTGCAATAATCAAAACAGTACACATACGTGCGATATATACGCTATATTTTGTTAAACGAAAGATCATATTCATATGCAATGACTTTTAGGTTGTTCTGCACATGTCAACACTGATTGGTTTGAACATGAAATGTAATACATATGCGTGTTTATGACGTTTTTGATACTGAGTGTTTATACTCAGTGATTCAAATTTTCAAATTCTCAAATTTAAAAATTTTTATATTTCTAGGACCAAATACAAACTTTTAAAAGTTGCGAACTCTCAACTTTCTAAATGTATACATTTCTAAAGTCTTAATCTCAAAATTTTCAAATTTGGAAGATTTGGTTTATGTATTTTCTTTGTTTCATATATTTTATCCACTACGTATATGATCTGCAAAATAAAAAATGTACGATAGGAGAATAGTATCACCTGGTAGGGAACCTGCTGAAGTAAGCCGTAATGCGCTAATCGTGTATGATCTCTTGTTGAACGGACGTTGAACAGACTATAAATTAAATATGAGATATCGAAAGTTTCGAGACTATCGATGTCGTAGGACATGTTAAATGAAGATTCCAATTCCAACCTCAATGGAAGTTATCTGAAGAATTGAAATAAAATGTTGAATTCATTATATTATGTTGAAATTTTATCTGTTCGTGATAAATTAAATCATTGAACATAATTTAATTCGAAAAGAATGTTGTTCTGTTGAGTGTTTTGTTTTAAGATAAACGAAGAAGTAATTTTTGTTGAAAGTAACAAAAGTGACGTAAAGTTGTAATGATTGAAAGCAGGTTCGCGAAGCAACTGCCGATCTTTAGAAATGACTTGCAATGGGGGGTCGTCTTTGGATGGTGAACGTAAAACAAATATCTTTATGGATATTAAACCAATTATTACATGTATGTTCGTTAATTACAATATTAATTCCTTTAACCTCTTTTCTAGAGATGACATTATTGTTAAGCACTGTTATTTACTGTTCCGAAACACTGTCAGTTTTTATGACATTGCTTCCTTCTTTACAATTCAGTTAAATTCATTCATGATAGAAAATAGTTTATTAAAGATTGTTCTATGTATAATAATAATTTTTGTTAATATTAGAATTCTTTTAGTAACTGACATTTATTTTTAAACATATGTTATTTTAAATAGGTTAATATTTCTTTCTCATATAATACTGTTTTTACTTGAAATAAATTGTATATATTTAACTTTATTTGTTACAATGTAATTTTATACATGTGTTTTCTTATATAAAATTATTAATGTTATATGTTAATTATGAATTTGTAACGTTATATTAATATTGTTATATAAATATAATATATTATCAATTATAAGCATCTTATTGTCCCAATTTTATGTATAATTTGTGTATTTGTCTATATACTACTATATGATATAGTGTGTATAATTTACATTGTTTTACTCTAATATATTAATTTCTTTAATATAGATGCAGGCGATGATAAATTATTTTCTACTTTGGAAGGCAGTTTGCTTCAAGCCATACCTGCAGATATGGTGGAATGGCGTAGGTCATTTAGTAGACCAGTTAAACAAGTCAAATTGGGGGCAACTTTCGTGCCATTTTCCAAAGATATTCTTCCGACTGAAAAGAGTGTACATCTAATAAAACAACCAATATTTCATATATATTGGACTGAATGTTCTGTGAGTACATTAATAATGTAGGTATTAGAATGTTAGGTACTATATTATGGGTATTAGTATGTGAGATTAGCTTTGTGTTATAAACATTTTATAAATTAAATCTAATCCACATTATTTTTAATACATAATTTAATAATGTGAAAGACAAAAGTTGGAAATAACACTCTTATTATTTAATTATAAAGTAAATAAGTCTTGTGTTTTTCTGATCATGCATATTGAGATTACAGGATGTAGATACTTATAAAACAAGTGTCAGAGAAGATATAGACAACTGGCTGAAAACCTTATTACAATATCATATTCAGGATTGGATGATTGTTTTAGTAGAAACATATGACATAAAGAAAACTAATAAATTATTACCTAGAACAACAGTTTTGGATAAAATTCGCAGTGATTTTGCTTCTAAGAATGGCGATAGGTGAAGTAATAATTGATCAACAAACATCTATCATATACTTATTTATATATTAAATTATGTTATATGTTGTGTATTTGCATATTAAACAGATGTTTTGCGGTGATAAATCCTATAAAATCAGAAATGCGTTCAGCTGAGTCATGGCGGGGTTTAGTGAATCGTTTACGCTATTTAATGTTAGTAGCATATGATAAAACATTGTCTCGTTTTGAAGATGTTGTTAGAGAACAAAGGGAAAGTAGGAATCATCCAAATTGGAATTTCTGTCACTATTTTTTACTGCAGGTAGTTTGAAACATCTCTTTTTTAATTCCATTGTTTTGCAATTCTATTGTCTCTAAAAAATTATATATCTTAATCTCAACTTTTTAGGAGGAACTTGCATTTGTTTTACAAATGTTAGGATTATATGATGAAGCCTTAGTGCAATATGATGAGTTAGATGCTCTCTTCACACAGTTTGTGCTTAATTCCAATGTAGGAGGTATATTGATTGTATATTTTAAATTATACATCTTTTCATTTTAATTATGAAAATTAATCAACAAAAATTTTTGTAGATATTCCGGTATGGTTAAATTTATTTCAAGCTCCATTAAATAATTGGGAAGGTGTCAATTTAAGCAATGGTACAAATCATCATCTAAGATTTCTTTTGGCGGAATGTAAGGCATCATTATTAGATCTTAGAAGTTATTTATTTAGTAGACAATGTGCCATGTTACTAGCTCTAAACAAACCATGGGAGGTTTGTATATATTAAGATGGTTTTTTATGTATAAATTATAGCCATATAATTAATACAAATGTACATATCAACTTTAATATAGGTTGCACAAAGGTGCTTATCATTTGTTCATAATACAATAAGTGAATTACGTATCTTAGAAATTCAAAGACCTGAAGGATCCATTGAGTGTTGGTCTTTCCTTTGTGCACTAGAGGTATTACAAGCTTGTCAATTATCATCATACAATATTGATAATAATCAGCAGCTAGACCTTTGCTCCTTGCATACAGCTAGTCTATGGGCTCTTGCTAGAGACAAAGTAAGTCACTAAATTAATTTCTTCTTTTTTTTTGAAGACTTTTCAAATATAGAAATAAATAAATATTGAAAGATATAGTATTAATAATTAATTATTGGCATACTTTATTCTAGCTAGGAAATTTAGGAAGATTATGTGGCTTAATGCCTGGAAGTGAACCTACTAGTGAACAATTACATACAGTTGTTTATCTTATAGCTGGTATGGGGGATTCTGAATCACAGATAGAGGGAAAATTAACTCCTACTGATAAGTTAAAAGAAGCACTTTCATCGAAAGAAGCGTTTAAAAAACAATATCTCGAACATGCAGAATTAGCTATGGGTACTTACAAGCATGTAGGCCGAATTCGATCAGCCAGATTAATAGGAAAAGAACTAGCGCAATTTTATAGTGAACTGGGAGAGAATCAGAAAGCTGTTGCATTTTTATCTGATGCTTTGAAAACTTATACAGATGAAGGATGGAATCATTTAGCAGCACAAACTCAATTGGAATTAGCTCAGTGTTATAAAAGAATGGATGATGTAGAAAAATATACAAAAGTTTGTGCCGCTATTGCTAGTTTGGATGTGTTACATATTACTGTTCGTAATACATATTTTGAAGAAATGTTTGGATACATGAAAATGATCTCATTACCCCAACCATTGCTCGTAGAACTTAGATGTGCTTTTATAATACTCAGTATGGAAGTTAAAGTAATGGATAAAGTAGTGCAGGATTGCGTGGTTCATATTGAGATCAATGTACAAAGTTTATTTCCTAGAGAAGTAAAATGTACTAAAGCGTCTATATCTGTTGAAGAAATTCAAAAGCCTCAGTTATCTAACAAAAAAAAAGGTTCAAAAGTACCAGTTGAACCTTCAATATCACTGTACGTATAATTTTATATTAATAAAACCATAAAGAAATCAACTTGAAATTTCTTGTAGATATTTCAAGTATAGTACTAGTTGTATTATAAAATTTCCAATATTTTTAGATAACTAAAAAATCATTATTTTCAGATTATCAAAATGTACTCTAGAAGATATGAAACCATTTGATCCTAGTTTGCTTCAGTTACAAGTATATTCATATTTAGATTATAAAGAAGATAAGAGTCTTGGATCTGCCAGTGTTGTACACAGAAATACTAAACCTGCTGTTAAACGTTCTGACAGCACAAAACATAGAAAACCATCTGTAAATGCTAAAGGTGATTTTAGTAAAGCCTTACACTGTGATGAATTTATAATGAAACCAGGTATGAATACCTTCACATTAGTGAGACATGTTGATCAGCCCGGGTTTTACAAAGTTGGTCAGCTATCCTTAGTTATTGAAGAAAAACTAGAATTTCTATCGCCTATTTTAAATCCTCGACTATGCTACGAGGTAGCTAAGACTCAACCAACGGTATCTTTAAAATGTGGTAGAGATTTACTGGCTGGCCTTATTCAAGAAATAGAGTTAGTTATTATGAGTGGAAGTATAAAAATAACGAAAGAAATGAAACTTAAATTACGTACATCTAGAGGGTTAACAATACAGGTTGATAATTCAGAAGAAACAATGTCTAAAGAATTAGAAGTACCACTGCCAGTTTGTGAACCATTTCAAACAATACGGCTAAAGTTTAAAGCTTTAGCTGAATTACCACCAAAGAAAGATACTTTATCAATGGAGCATAAGGTACTTCTTTTACATATAAATATATTTAATAATATTTCAATCAAATTTAATTTACCGCAATTGTATTGTATACATATTTCTTAAATAATTATGATTATTATTATTTTCTTTTAGCTAAATATACAGTGTCCCTGGGGTTCAGAAGAAAGTATACCTTTGCATTTTGGCCCACCGCTTATGTCAAATATGAAACTTCATACAGCAAAACAAAGAAAATTTCTTCAAATAATTGTAACAGGATTAACAAATCAACTTCTACAACTTATTGAACCTGAATTAACAACAATAACATCGATAGATGTTAACTTTAAAAGTTTAAATCCAATTGCGGGTCAGAGACTAGTAATAGGTAATGGAATAAACGTATCATTTATGTGGGAACTTGAAATTGGTAAAGATGAAAAGTCTTTAATACCAATAAAGACTGATTTTCGTGTAAAATATATACCAGTCAATGATACTGAAGAATTGAACGATCTGCACACTAAAGATGATCCTTTGCAATTACATCATTTACAAAGAATGGAAAAAGCATCCAGTCTGTATAGATGCAACTTCGATATTACAGATTATGTGGTAAGATTGTAAATTTTTTGTTTGTTTTTGATAGTTAATAAATGAGCGAAATAAATATGTTACAGTTAATTGAGTAATAATTGAATTCTAATTAAATGTAAAATAACAATGATTTTATAAACGTATCCTTAAAATATATTTTAATGATATTTCAGAAAGATGAATATCTAGTTATAATATCATTTTCCAGACCTTGTTTACAGTATCATCAAAAGTTGAAGCAGCTGGAAATGGGGGTGAATTTTGTCGTGCTGGTAGCATGTGCCATCTATATCTCACAGTAACACGTATGTTACCCACTCCTAATCCAAATCCTACACCTCAATTAATGTACGAGGTTCTGGCTGATCAAACTATGTGGGCTGTATGTGGTCGTACTGCTGGCATTGTGTCTTTAGAAGTTTTAGAAAAACAAAGTGTCACATTGGACGTGATGCCATTAACCAGTGGTTACTTACCTTTGCCTGTTGTTAGATTGTCTCGATATATTCCAGCTCCTGAAACAAAAAATGGTAAGTCCTTTAACACTACACATTTTAAACATTGAATTTATTATGTAGTTTGTTTTTCTTCATGTGTTACATATATGTATTTGTAACGATAACAGAAATTTATACTTTTTATGTCTTCATACTTGTAATATTTGTTAATTTTTTAAAGATATGATACGTAAAAACGAAATAAGTTCTAGTTCAAGACTAGAACCGTTCAGTCCTGGCCAAGTTTATAATGCTAGTAAAGCACAGCAAGTTCATGTTCTACCAGCAGCACCTTCAGAAGCAAATTGAACATAAAGTCATTGATATTAAAACCACATGATATGTCTGTGGCATTATAAAATGCAAACTGCATATACCTTAATCAAGATCATTTTTTATATTGTTTGATATACTTCTATGACATTGAATAATATTATCATTTATTAATAGTTTCTCAATCATTGCTATATTAATTCGTTTATTTTTTCATAGTTTTAATTGAAGTTTGAATTTTGGACAAGTAAAATTTATATGTACATTGTTTAATGTTATATGTTTATATATTAGTTCAAAAATCAAATTTCAAATTTTGTCATTATTTACTTCTATAGATAGCAGTATGTAATTGTTAATTTAAGTTCTGCCATTAGAGGTGAAGTAAAAATGTGACAATATGAGGTGTAAGTAAAATTGTAAGGTTTCATACTTGAAAAATATTACTATAACATAATGTTTTCACTTGTGCAGTAACGTGATTTATATTTTCATGTAATTATTATATAATATTCACGTTGTACAGCCTGCATATAAAATCTGACCAACGTACATTTTTTTCGGTTTACTTTCAAAATAAGTTGTAAAAATGATTTCATTTTGTTTGAAATTATGTACTTATAATTTCTACGTTATGTACATACGTATAATAATATATATGATATCAATTGTTTCCTATTTTCCAAATATTTAATTCTTGTATAATCCACGATATGTTAAGTTTACGATGAACTGTTCGTGATAGTTTCAATTAATTTTAACAGATTGTGTCATTTTAATGCTACAGTGATCGAATGTTCAATTCCGCTTGTTAGATACAATGCTGTAAAATTTGTACAAATATTTATTAAGAATATACTCATAACATCGAATAAGAATTAAAACTTGTATAGTATGTATGTAAACATTGCAAAAAATGGTAACTAACATCTATCACAAGGATAAAATTGTATCCTGTATTAAATATTTATCAGAAAATGTAAGTAATATACGTTTAAAAAGAACAAGATAAATATTATTTACGTTACTTTTATTTCGTAGTTTTTATTATTCAAAGTATAAATACTGCAAAAAGTATGTTTATATTGCCATGTTAATTAGTAAACTAATTTGTATGTTTTAAGATAAATACTATAATACTCAATGCTTGATATTTCTGTATTAAGAAAATAACATTCGTGTAATATGAAATATTTACAATAGCGAAATAGTTTTCTCCATATAATTTATTATGTAACAAATAAGTAATTACTACTTATATATTTTTCAAATTATTTCTAGTTAGAGGAATATTTAAATGTATGTAAACATTAAGTGAAAGCTGCAAATACATGTACATGTTTGCATATATATATATGTAAATATAATTAAGTATATTAAATACTGTATATTGTTACTATATTAAGTTTGATACAGTATAACGTATTTGATAGAAAAGACATTGAAAATGTCATATTTGAAACTGATGTACATGTATATTAAACAGAAGTGTTGTCAAATGCTAGTAAACCTTTTTTTCAATAATTTTATTTTGTATACCAATTTAACAGATTTTTATTTTAATAGTAGCATAAGAAATTTATAAAATTTTAAGATATATCTAACATAATGTTAAAATTAAAAATCTGAAATTTGTTTTATGTAATTCCATTATTATAATCTTCTGACAAAATTGTATAATATTTAAAGTGGTTAGATATTGTATAATACATTGAAATATAAGTTTTATTTTTTATATGTACATGTTAAAATAAACTGAATTCTGAATAAAAGTGAATTTAATTCATTGAGTTTTTACAAAAATTTATTACAACTTAAATGTAAATTAGGTTTAAGCACAGCTTTAAAGTATATGTATCAAAATGTAAATGTACCATGTTATTAAGAAACATGTATAGATTATCAAGGGAGGAAGTTGTAGGCGTAAAAAACTTGCATATCTCAAGTGATGAGAAGTAGAGAAAATAAAAAGATGTACACACACATTTATGTATATTATAATGATATATTTAATTTCATTTTTGTACAAAATAGAAACAGTTGCTCATAAATACAAGAGAATATTAGTAAGTAGGTAATGGTTGCTGTGTAAGCAACAAGCCAAATCTTCTTTTTAGCGTTATCCTTTCTCTTGAATATTTATCTTCTGGAGAAAATCGAGCTGAAATTATGTTTCACTTTAATTAACTTCATCTTTTAAAGAAGTAAAATAATAATTACCTGGATGTGCTGATAACGTAGGTTTCCCATTTGGATCCATTTTCTGTAAAATAATATATTCGCTATAAAAATATGAATAAGGAAGGAGAATAATAAACATTAATGAGAACATTTTTATTATTATACTTGATACATAAACATGTATCATAACGTATGAAATCATAAACTATTAAACCTTATATTATATCAAATATAATAAAATATGTCTTCTGTTTGTTACCTTCAAAGTATATACTCGATCTCCATTTTCGTTTAGATAATACATCAAATACATTTTTACGTTTTTACTTTGATCAGTATTTCTTTAGAAACTTTGACGCAGGTTATGTTTTATGGATATCTTTCACCGCGTGGATAGTCTGATCTCAGCGCATGCGCAGTTTCCATTATACCTTGATCGACTACGCAAATCGATTTCATAAAGTTTCAAATTTTAAAAACTGTAATCAAAAAGGTCACTTATCAAAGCAAACAATGTATTTCGATTCATGAGAAATGTGAAACGAAATAGTAGAAAAGTTGCTTGCATAAATCATATAATATCAAATTAAAGCATATAGTTTAGGAATTAAATACATACGACGTTTAACAATTAATTTTTATTAAAGGTAATATAAATTTTACGTTTAATTTTCTTCTCATAACGTATTGATTAGCTTATATTAATCGTTTTGTTTCAATAAGACATGCTACTATTACAATGTTCTACAGGTATAAGTACTATGTTTAATCTTTATCACGATCATAACGTACACACTAAAAAGACTGGTAGCGCAATGAATGGTGATGTTCAATAAATAATACAGAAGAATTTCAGAGTGGATGATGCTTGTGTTAAAGAGTGTTTCGCTAACGAAAGTTCTGATTGTCCACGTATACGAGCGATTGACCCGTGGGTGTACAACTTCTGGCAATTCTTCTTAGCAAAGTCGACGCTCAAACACGCATGGTCAATGTAACGAACCGTCACATAGTCACAATACAGAGTGTTACTTCCGTCGACAGACAAATTATTGTTAGTGTGGAACGAGTATTATTCGCGCAGTGTATTCGGCCGTGGATCTGACTGTCGAGTTCGCAAACATTTTTATGACGTTTTAAAAATATATTTAAGGTAACTGTTCTTGTCTTGTTTGAATACTTATCTAATTGTAATGATAATTTATATTTTGTGTTAATACATGATTACTGTAGCATTTAATCACTGACGTCTAATCTGTGATACTAAACACTGATATCGTAATAATTACGTATTGACAGTAATTTTATTGAATCATTAGATAAGGAAAATAATATCTAACATCTAAAGTATGAGATAAAGAATAAAAAATTCATATAATAAATTAAATTAGATACATTATTGTTATTTCTTCTAATTAGAAGTATAATTTTCAGATTTAAGCATGAGCTAATAAAATATCTCCGTTTCTTTATTCATCTCATTTTTAGAAAGTATATAAATTAAAAATAACAGCTAAGAATTAAACTAAAATTTTTAAAATAAATTCGCATTAAATTATTCATGTAATTTTTGATTCCTTAAATTACGAAATGAATAATTTCTGAATATAAACATGAGATAAAGTATCAGTTTCTCATTCGTTTCATTTTAAAGAAAACACGAAAAAACGTAGATTAAAAGTAAGATCTAAGAGATGATTCATTTTTGAATATAAACACGAGGTAGCGAAACATCTTGATTTCTTATTTATATTTTTTTTTACATGAAACGCGAGATAATTTACAAAAGCTATAAATTAGGAAAAGGAAATAAATTGATAAACTAAGCGCAGAGGTTAAAATTATCACTGTAGAAATCCATTTCAACGCATTATCTGTAAACGTTTTATGCGTAAAAAATAATCAAGCACCGATACCGATACTTCCACTTTAAATCTAGCGTAAACTATTAGTTTTAGTCTGCTGCAGTTCAATGTTTCATACACAACGGTTCGATTCAAATAAAATTGTTATTTCTTTTCTTTCTTTAATCAACGGAAGGTAGCGCTACAGATATTAATTTTTCAGATGCAACCAAGAAAAATTCGTTGGATTGTTCAAGTAGAGGGAGATCCATGGCAAGGAGAAAATGTTGAAGAGCAAATTTCTTCTATAAAAGGTAATATACATAATATAAAAATTAATAAAAAAATATTATGCATTAGCTACATTTTAGTATTATAAAAATGTTTATAACTCAGAAGTTCATTTTTAAATTTTCAATAATGCGAAAAGAATGTGTTGACGATATATATATTTAAAATGACGATTTATAAATAAAAGAAAAGGTTGTCCGTCATCCTCATTAAGCCTACGAGTATTACATCAAATACAAATCCAGTATAGCTGTTTCATTCATTTTGTAGCGAAGCACGCTTAATATTCATAGTGTACGTGATTTACGTAATTATAAATAGATGTGATCAACATGATCACGTTTCACGTCACGTTTTACCTTGTATCGATGTCTGAAATAATAAATTTTGACATAGAAACATAGGCGTAATTAGGATTATCGAAGAGGGTCAGAACTATTATGTGTTATATGGCCACACGACTGCTCGTTATATAGTCATGTGTTAGATTGTTACGTGACGTATGTTTACGTGTTACGTTGGTGCATATAAGTGAATATTAAGATACTTTGCAAAATAAACAGTATATCATTAGAAAATAAAAGGTACAAAGGAGATTTTATTACTTATGAAGTAATAATTCGCTCCAGTAACATTTAATTTAAAATTGATTTTTCTTTCCGGATTTAAGTCGTGTCACTACTGATGATCGAAGGTGAAACAAAATTCCTGAATGTCTCTGAGAATGTGCCTTATCGCATCGGGAAACATTAAAGTATTGACCTTAAGAACCTCTTAAAAAGTGCTTATAAACTCTCCATTTCTGAACGTGTAGTTCAAGGATTCGTTCGTCGAACTTTTCACACGAATCTGGACTAATTAAACCATTCTTCCAGGGAACCATTCTTTTCATTCGTGAATATTAAAACGATAAGTATTGCATGTGTCTGTATACAACAGTCCGTTACATCATTCCGTTATAGGCAGCTGCAATTCGTGCGATACTACAATTATCCCCACTTTTTTAAAATATCATATATTTTACTACTTTTTTGTATGGCTTGACATTACGTCGAACGTAAAGTTACATAAATGTTTTATATTGATCAGTTAGAGCAATATGTTTTAATAAATTTATTTAATAGTTTGATAGCGTTTAACTATTCCAGTCTCCAATTTCTATCAGTTATTGAACATAAATTAATTTGAATAAGTATAGGAAATAGACACTTACTGATTAATTAATGCCAATTACAGTTTCCAATTAATGACAATGTAATTGAACATTTATAGTAATTCACATAATATGTAAATTACATAAAGCATACATAATAAACTTAAAAAGTTGTTATGAACGATTTTGCAATACATAAACTCTCTGTAAAACTCACAACCGTGTACGGTTGCTTACAAATTTGTTTTCAGAATTTCAATTTTCAATATTTAATTTAAAAGACACTGTGGATATTATTCTTTCTTTGATGGATTTCTTCATATACGAATTATTGCTTTTCTACAATTGAAATTTTTCTTTAATTATAGAAATACCACGACTCCATAAATTAATTAATTTTATAAAATGAAAGTATCATGCAGACTCTATTTTTACGTTTAAATTTTATGTTATTGCGTGTTTTGAAAAGTAGTGTGTTGATGCCATCTAACAGAGGGAGACAAAACTAAATAAACACAAAATTACTTTTCTTTTGTAAAACTAACGCATATTATGATTTACCGGGATAAGTAGAATTTTCGATAGCTTCGATTTAATATGAATGATGGCACTGTTATCCATTTTATAATTCAAAACTGATATTTGAGAAAATTAGTTCGGACTCTGTTTTAAAAAGCCCGCCATAGATTTTATAAAATACAATTCTTCAAAGTATCGACATTAATTCATACAACAAACTATAGTACTACATTTAATTTGCATTGAAGTCATAGAATATTCTATTTATTCTTACAAATTGTAGAAAACGTTTATTTTTATAAAAAAAAGAACTTTTCGTACAGTTAGTTGCGTTATTCGTTATCAGATGGCGCCAGCGATAGCATTCTTAGAATGCGCGATAATACAAATTAAAAAATATAAAAATAAGACTGAACAATGCATTGAATTAGTTAAACTACATAGTATATAAAAGTATAATTCTTTATTTCATTGCTACGTAGTTACAGAAATTGTAATTTCATACACGAGCAAAAAAGTTTCGAATTAAGTTTAAAATTTATTTTCGAATTAAATACAAATCTGATCAACAATCTTATAAAGAAATTTGTGTTTAAAAAAATTAATTTATAAATGATGAGACATCAATATAAAAGAATTTAATACATATAAACAAATAAATAGTAAAACTCAGAATTCGAAATACACATTATAAAATCAGATCTATAAACAACGAACGTTCAGCAGAATACTTATAGAAATTAAATATAGTTTAGCAAGTTATAGATAATGTCCTAGAATATTGAAATTATTTGAAAACTAAAAATGTCAGTAGTTTAGCGTGATACCGAAATATGCTCATTATTTAATAAAAATAATTCACGAGACAGAATGCAATAGTTATTAATATTACTTATCTCAAAACAGACGCGTTATAATAAATTTCAAATTAGAAACAAATAATTGTAATTCGGTTTTAATTCTATTTATGCAGAAACCATGACAAAAATATTCATTTTCCTCAGTGTTCTACTTAAATATATTCAACCTTAAAACTAAAAACTATAAGCAGTCTATAGTTAAAACTATACATCAACAGCTTCGGTAGCTCAACATCCACCAGTGTGCAAAAGCTCATCGATTAACTCACGCGGCTCTAATGGTACTCTCCTTGTCAGTTGAAAATATTAAGTACTTAAACACATTATTTTAGTACTATCACACCTCATTATACCTTACAAAGTTATTACATAAAATACTAAATCATATTGTGCAATTATAAAATAGTTAAGTAATTCCATTTCACAAATAACAACATGCGTGAGAATTAACACATTGTGAAATCACGCGTGAATCACTTATTTAATTCTTTGTAAATTATAAGATATATAGTACAATCAGGAATTCACGTTGTGTATTCAATAACAGTGTACACGTGTAAAATATTGAGTGCTTTTTAATGTTGATATCCAAACGAAAAGGAAAATGGACGATGACATTTGTAAGTATACAGAAAATGAAACAATTATTATGTCTTTGTAAAATGAATCATGATAAATACGCTCCATCTTCAATTGCATGAGTGATAATGTATCTGTGTCTGAAATTAACGTAATTAGTTGAAGAATCGGAGTCGTGACGCTGTGGGAGGTCCCCGATACAAAGATGCAGACGCATTTCCAAGAATTGCAGTAATCTTCTTACGTCTCCATTCAGTACGTGTTTTAAATGAATTGACTCTGAAAACGATACAAGTATCACGAAAATCAGAAATTAAATGTTATAGAAGATAATCGTTTCGGTCACGCTCTTGCATGCACTTACTTTGTTCACTGAATTTACATTCAGTGTTTCACTTTTTAAATAATTTGTATCAGACTGTCATTTTTTAAGTTACAAGTTTTCAAAATTCCTACATTCTCAAATTCCGATGTTCATAAATTTTTTGAATTTTCAAACTGTTACAATTTCCAAATTTTCAAATTCCCCAAATTCCTTAGTTTTCAAATATCTAAATCTCCAAATTCCCTGAACCTCTAACATGTTAAATATCTAAATCCTGAAATTCTTGAACTTTTCAATTTACAAATCTTGAAATTTTAAAAATCTCAGAGTTAGAAACTAACTTTTCCATTGCAATATAATGAGAGTTGTTCTCATCAGTGCTCATCACTGACCTAACGCAACTTCCAACCGCGTTGAAAATAAACATCGACTTGTGCCTCAGGGCCCGTAAACTCTAGCGGCGGCTCTGTTATTACATATTCTGACGTTACATTCCTTTTTCAGTTAACACATGGACTCCTAGTGAAAATGTTTATTGTATATAATAACACATATTAAAATTGCAATTATCCAGGATATCCTCATTTCATGCTCATTGCTTCCTGTAAATATAATACAATTTTGATGCAATATAAAAATGTCCTTCAATCATTCTTCTTTTAGTTGTTCGGCAATAAACAAATTAACAAATTATTAGCAGTTAACGAGTTTACGAATGACCGGTAACACGAAAATCGATTTTGACTGCTGGTCGAAACTAAAATTTGTATTGTAGAATCGTACGACTCACCTCTTTCTACCTGCCCCGTTCGAGGCAGGCTACTTCTTCCGATTTCTGAGATCCTGTTTACCTGTGATGCATTGGGCCTTACGGTCCACAAAGAGGAGCCCGAGGGCCTGTGCTGTGACGCTCGTAGATCGCAATCCCGCTATGTATCCTCTGAAACACTAAATTACAATTAAAATTCAAGAATATTTCATGGGAATTTATGATCTACCATTTAATTTCATACGCATAATCTGCACTTACACGAATACAAAAATTATGACGATAAAATTTGATAAACATATCGTTACGATGGCGATTATTCAATTTTATCTTTCACAGATATAATTATAATCGCATAATTACTTTGTTCATTGCAACATAAGCTGATAACATTTTTCTTTTACAAAGTAAAATTATTTTATGCAATCGTATTAGAGTCAAGTATTTGATACCGCTGAATATACTTCTGTCACATTTGCTCCTTATATTTGGAAATTGAAGTTACAATTATTCACAATCTTATAATTTTGCCTACAGTTCTCTACGGTTGCATATTATTGTGCGGTTTTAATGTATAAGTAATTCCGCTTGAAAAATATTAATGCAGTATTTAACAACTTTTTATTTAAACATTCTATCATTTACATAGTGATTGTAGTACAAAAATAGAGACTTATAATGAAAAACTTAAAACCAATGTTTATGAATAATTCTTTGGTATAGTTGAAAGAAATTGTTTAAACTTGTGTCATCAATATTTATTATTTCTTATATATGTCTGTATTTATAAATAAATAAATATATCATAAAAAACCCATCCGCATAGTAAATATAAATATAGTGCAATTAACAAATATCTGAACATACACTCACTCAAATACTGGAATTTCAGAAACGTTAGTTTCTTAATTATATATTAAATTGAAACGTCAATATTTCCAGTAAATTATTTAAAGAGTTCGTACGATTAATTCGAGATATCTTAATCGGTGCTGCATTGATTGATTATTTAGTATTTATGTGAAACCTGCTGACTTTTATGAATGCTATTCAAAAGATATATTTACCGATTAAAGTATTATGAGGTATCGTTTTCCGTGATAGAATACAAGGGTGAACACTATTTTTATTTCCCTACGTGGCCGTCAATAAAGTATCACGATATAGTAGGTAAAGGTAGGGCCCATTTGAAAAGGCAAAAGAAATGCACCAGAGCGAGTGAGATGGATAGTTTATAGCTGGAGGGCGAGTAGGAGTGGGGGAAGTTGGGCCTTACTGATCGGAACTCCGAGGTTGCCAGTTCGCTCGTGACTCGGCCGGTGTGCGGTTCGTTTGTTCGTCGATTGACGCTCGCATAAATTTAAAAACGACTTCTGTCAGTTTCCCTCATACATTTTCCTCATATTTACGTATAGTTTCAATTCAATAATCGATCATTTGTATCACAGTGTTCAGATGTGCGCGTATACGACGAAGAATCGATATCGAAGTTTTACGTCGTTCGAGTTTCGATCGCGACAAAGATCGTAAAGAGCTCGAAAGAAACGCCATCGTCAGTGGGAACGAGGCAAACAAAGGAGAGAGAGAGTGAGGAAAAGAGAGAGAAAGTTAAAAAAGTGCATGTGTGCGTGAAGCGACGACGGGTTTGCGCGCATACGGGTGCAGTAGTCTTCTTGACAGTGTAGAATCAACAAGTGTGTACGAAGCGTCATTGTCGCGCCTTGTGCGCGCGCGATCCTAACCTCATCGTCGAGATCGGTTCGGTTAAATCGTTCGCGATCTTTGCTGTTCTCGGTGTTCACGCTTTCGTTGCTGCAAGCTGCGAAAGCTTGCGAGTTGTGGTAGTTTTAATCGATGTGATATCGTGCTTTTTCTTTTACGTGCCCTTGGATATATTGTTACGTCGGCGAGCTCCGGTGACTGCGTCTACAACGTCTCAAGATGGAAGTCGTTTACATAGGTACGTCAGACCTTGTAATCATGGTTTTATTGCGCGGGAATCTTTTGATTAGCTTTACGTTTGATTCGTGATTGTTGTTTACGTTAGAAAGATTCACTACGGTCAATACAGTTGTCAATATTTCACGGTTTTTACACTTTTACGATTAGTGTATATTGTCAGTACGATATTGTTGATTTTTTAATATTGTCAGTAAACGTCGATTTAAATTTTAAAATTCTTCATTTTCCCAGTTTCTGAATTGTTAAATTTAGTCTGAAATTCCCAAATTCCTTAACTTTCAAATTCATGAATTTGTCAAACTTCAAATTCTATAATTTCCAGTTTGCAAATTTCAAATTCTCCAAACTCTGTGTTCTCTAAAATCCTAACGTCCATTTTGAAACGTCGAAATCCTAAAATTACAAGATTTAACAGTGCTCTAATCGTTAAATATTTTTAACATAAATACGTAATACAAAAATATTCGTTTATCACTGTTATCTCATTATTATCACTTATGCGGGTTGCAAATTACATTTCTTTACAAAAAGAAAAAGTCACGCAACGAAGTGTTAATTATACAAAAAACTGATAATAATTGGCAACTGAATATTTGTTAAACTGCTACTGTCTAATTATCGTTTAAATAATAGCTGAATTTTGAACGGTTAAACACATGACGTGAAGTGTACGTAGCCTTTAATTACGTTTACGTGTTAGATCATTTGAGTGTTCTGTATACCGCATGCGTGCAAGCTGAAATTGTATCGGTACCGAACCAGAACTATGTTATTTTATTACCTACCTGAATATTTTTCTACTCTCACCATCAGTAGGCAACGAGGTTATCTGTATCCTAAGGCACGTGTTATCTAATCTTCGAAATATTTATTCATCATATACGTGAAACGCGTGTACACGTCAAGAAAAGAGGTATGGTACACGTGCACGTCAAGAATGATAACTGGGCTGTGTAAGTGGCGTCATTTAGATTAGAATGCTCGTTTCGCGTAGAAGGTTCACTGAACGTAATATTAGCAAAACGATGTAAAGGAATTTGCCTATATATCCAATCCTGTGCGGATCAATCGTGCCTACTAATTATGCATCTGATATTTCGTAATCGTAAAGAATTTATCATTATGCTTTGATCTCTTTCATTGCTCTATTATAAATGTTAAAAGCAATTTAATTAGTATTACATGCACTTGACTTAATTACTTATCGCAGAAGATAATAGAAAATTATCGCGGAAAACATGAAATCTCGTTCTCCGTATTATACTCTTATCACTTTAGAAACATAGAAATTTAACTTTCGAATTCTCAAATTTAGAAATTAAGAAATTTTTTAAATTACTAATTTTCAATTTTCAAATCTTTTTAATTAACAAATTCGCTAATTTCAAAATGTTCAGTTTCCAAATTCCAATTTCTCAAATGTCCACATTTTTAAACTCTAAAAAAAATTTCAGATTTAAAAATTTCAAAATCTCAGAATTGGTAAATTTTCAAATTTCCCGCTCATAATCAACGAATTTTGGATTCTCAGTTTCCCTTAGGGAAGCCACTCATGCTCTAGCAGTACGTAGGACGCACAAGGTGCGTCATCATTATTAAACATGTCCTAATTACCCAAACGATTTAATATCGATTAAAACAGTCTCCTGTTAATAACTCGTCGTCGTACCAACAAAGAATTTACTCCGGCGTTGTCTGAGATTAAGATAGATGCGTTTCGTTAACTTAGCCAACAACGAGCGTCTCCACAGATAGAACTACGTATAGTTAGCTAAATACTCTGCTAGGATGACTACTCTCTGAGCTATTTAATTTATACGTTAAACGCTAGAACGGTTTGGTAAACGTTATGCGGCCCCATCAGTTCATTTGACCCGTGAACTTGGGACAGTGGTGCGTTTAGTTTAGGGCCAACGACACGCGTTCGACTATGTACATTTAACACATACGCATCAGAGGAGACGCACTCTTCGCAGTTGGTAGTCCGCATTGTCATCTCGTTTAAACGATTGTTTGGCACGTTGGCGACCATCCGAGGCGAGTCGTCTAGCAAAGTGCACACGGTGCTCCACTTGCATTCATCCTGGCGCCAATGAATGAAAAGGCAACGAATGGCTTCTGAACGTTCTTTTTCCCCTTGTCGACCTTATTTCGACTATGGTCCGAAAGCCTTTAACCCTTTCACCGATACGAAACTGCATATATGGAAAGATTCGAGTATGCTCCGTACAGAATTGACAAGAGTGTATACTCTTGTGGAATCAGCCTATTGCGTATTCACATCCTCATGCTTCTGTACTTTGTACACAAATCTTATATTTTGTGACTTGTTTTGTAGTTTGTTTTATGCATTATTTTATACATCATTTTATACATTATTTTATACATTATTTTATACATTATTTTATACATTATTTTGTACGTTATTTTGTATATTATATTATACATTATTTTATTCATTATTTTATAATTTATTTTATACATTATTTTATACATTATTTTATACATTATGTTGTACATTATTTTATACATTATTTTGTACATTATTTTATACATTATTTTATACATTATTTTACATCTTATTTCATACTTTGTTACGAATCTGGATATTGTCGCCAAGTGGTTTATTAAATAAACAATCTCAAGTATGTTATCAGACATGTTCATTTGAATCTATTTAGTAAAATATCTTCAGTTGAGTATATTTAGTTAAATATAGAAGTAATTAATGAAATATATTGTATGTACATAGACATCAATAAAAAATATATTTAGCCATTAATTATCGATGAAAATCAATTTATATAATTATTTTCATACCATATGTAGTCGTACACGAGAGCTACGTAAAATATGCAGACCTACGTTAAAATATCGTAAAATAAAATTCATTTAAAATTTCAATATTGTAGAAGAGATGAAATATACAAAATGTTAAACTGAATTTTATATTTTAATTGGAGCACGGTTATCTATGATAAACCACTATAAATGGAGCGTCTCGATGTTTGTTTCAATGAAGAACTAATGAACTTATGCTATGAATGAAACACTTATAATCTGGTTTTGAATCAGTTTTTTTAGATTGATGCGCTTTAAGCGCTATTCTGAGATGCTTCGATGTTATTAAAATATATTTTATTATATTTTGTGAAGGAGTAGATCATGATTTTCACTGTGATCCAGAACTTGTTACAAATAAAGTTAACTTGTATTAAGAATATCGGTGAAGCATTTATGCACTTATTTTGAGTAAATTTTAATCTTAAAATTCATCTGTAAAACATTATTTTATAATACTTTTATGCTATGAAATTCTGTTGGACTTTTGAAGCTTCAAAATTGCTCATTGTTCGTCGTAACTATTGATCAGCTATTTTGCAATAAGAATATTGTATAAACGTTTAGCAAAAAGTATTAGTTTATGGTATTTTATTTTGCTATTTTGTGTTCAAAATACCTATGAAATGTTTACGCAGTCCATTCAAATTTTAAATTGACGCAGAGAAAGCATTATTTTATTACATCTTTACGCTAAAAAAATAATGAGTCATTGATACATCTAATGACGAAGACAAACCACTAATTTTGAAATCTACCGACTGAATTATTGATTTTGAATAATCCACGTTATTTTATGATTATTGAAGGCTCTGTCATGAAATTACGAGAATTAACTGCGACGCCGTAAGCAGATTTCGTTTCAGATTATTTATAGGATCATTTTGTTCTCGTGCAAGGGTAAAGAAGTCCCGACCACGTTAATGCGGTATTTACAACAAAATTGAAGTAATTTGTCGTAAAACGACAACAAACCACGCTTCTACTATACGAAACTCGTCTTTACTGCATATTTCGCGATCCATCTCACCTCATTTTCTCGACATCTGCATCTTTTTAATGGAGAGGCGACGTCGAGAGTGGCTCTCGATCGGCGGTCTTCTCGATGACGCTTAATGATTGTGGCAAAAACGGGAGACCGTACGGTGAAAAAGGGAAGCTGATATCGAGATTGCTAATTCGTCTTAGCGCGTTTCCAAGGAATGGATACGACAACCATGTCTATGACGTGGAATTTATGGCTTGTTTCGTGTAAGTAATTTTATCGCTGATTCGACCGCGTGAATAAAGATATTTAAAGACACGGGCGTTTTTCTATGACAAGTTCGTACGAACTGATTTGAATAAATCGATACGCTGTTTGCTAGGCTCTATATTCGAACAAAGCGTATCGTAAAATATTTGAGATTTTTAAAAAAATTAAATAGCTTGAGACCTCAATTTCTGTAAGGAAAAGTACTTGATTTTGCTAAATTATTAACCGCATATCAAGTGGTGCATTAAAATAAAAAGTCTACGATGATGACATAAAAATATCCAAAAATGCCGCTTGTGATACGTTAATTAAAAACTTGAAGTATGAGGAAAAAGACTGTACAAAAATTTAATCAATGATGTTAATAGAAAATTACTAATTTGGAGTTGTAATCTGTTATAGATAAACTTCACATTTTATATACATGAATGAAAGTCTAAGATAATTTGATGACATAAAAGTATCTCAAAATAGCACTCACGATATATCAACTTCAAGCTTAAAGTACAAGCAAGAACCTACACAAAGGTTTTATTAATATTCGTAATACAAAATGGCTGATTTTCAGTTACAGTAATAGATCATAAATGTAATGTTCTTTTGCGAGTAGAAGTCAGACACAACTTGATGACATAAAAATATCACAGAATAGTACATATGATATATCAACTTGAAGCTCATTGTTTGATGAAAATGACTACATAAACATTTCATCATTATTCCTCATAGCTGATTCTTTATTGTACTCATTGTTTGCTTCAACGAAGAACCAGTCAATTCATATTAAGAACATCGATGAAACATTTACGTAGCCATTCTCATCAAAATTTATTACCTAATATTCGTATTACATGAAACTTCCTATGTACGAGAGTATCCTACATACGACACGATGTATTAAT